ATGGTTCGATTCTGAAAAATTCTTCGAAAGAACTTGATTGTATGGAGGTAGGAGAGATAGAAAGACAGATAGAGGAATTATCTGCATGGTTTGTGTAAGAGTAAGGGTAAGGGTAAGGGTAAAGGTAAAGGTAAAGGTAAAGGTAAAAAGGGTGGAAAAGATACGTGTATATACCGTAGTAAGTGGTACCCCATCCAACAACGGTGGGTCTAGCGCCGGCAAATCGCTCGTTTTTGTAATGTGCTTGCGGTAGACAGATCGGTATTACATAAGGAGACTTTCGAACGATCCTAGTAAGTTCAAGAACCGCGATGTCATTGTAAAATCCAACGCGCGAAAATTTTGGATGTGCGTGAATTTGCTTGACCGCATAAGTTTCTGGAGCAGATGGTTCGTCGTTTCTTTCAAGGTCTATGTCACCGAGACGGACAGTGAACTGTCTCGCGGCAAATCTGCACAAACATTTTATCGGCTATTTTATCGATTTCTGAGTATATGGTTGGTGAAAATTTCAGAATATGCATTTTGTAAACTTACTGCTGTTGACGGTGATCCCGTGTACAATGAGCAGCGGTAAGAATATACCGCGATCCGATCAGAGATCCACCGCACCAAAATTCCGTACGTTTAGAACCATGCAAGAATATCGCTGCCATCCAAGGCCAACGACCAGGAAGAGCTTCTTCTCCACCTACCACTCGATATTTACCCGAATTTCTTATTCCACATTCTATCGAAGAAAACAATTTATATGCCGCTATAGTTTCTTCAGGTTCGTTTCGACATTTCTACGTTCTATTATTATTATTACGTTCTACGTTATTATCATGAACATTTACCTTCGTCGTCGTGTATGAAATTATTATCGATAGCGCTAGTAGTTGAAGATCCAAGTAAGCTGTATGAATGATTCAAGGGCAAATCAACAGAGGAGGATACTGGAATGAATTCTGTTGTTAGGAGATCGACAAGATTTGTTGGCGTAGTCGTGACCGTAATGGTGGTTGCAGGTGCAACGACAGGGAATAGTGGTATCGGTTTAGGGGACTGATGTTTCGTTGGACGTATCGATGGTTGAACTGATGGAGGATGTACACCCGAATCAATCCCCGATGTTGCGATTATACTGGCTATCGTGCTGAAAATTTCATACGTATCCAATTTTCCAAGTATTAAATTTACGAATGGTTTAGCATAACCATATAAAACAAGCATGACGTTGTTGTGTGATATCGTTGCATTTACCTTGTCCCGTTAGTGTCAATCTTATCTGTCAGTGGGCAACAGACACCCGGGACGAATAAACTTTTGAAGCACAATGACTGTCTGAGTTTGGTTAAGTCGAGCAACAGTTGAGGACAATTACTCAAATCTTGACACTTTCCAAGATTACCGTTCGCAGTAGTGCAGTCAATGGACGATATCATCACCGCCTCCTTTTCCCTGTCGTGCTGGTTAATTTCGGTAGAAGAGGAAAAGGTGGCGATGGGGGAGGAGAGAGAGGATGAGGCAGACGAGCTGTCAGCGGGTATAGGTCGCACAGGCAATGCTACTCCTCTAACTAGCGGTGCAATACTGTCTGTTACATTACGTCCTAAAAACAAGCGCAACCGGGATGTTCATTTAACAAAAGATACGAGCGATTGTTAAAAGCAAGATCTAAGTCTTATTTAAAGTCTTACCTAGAATGTTTTTCGAGATAGTGTATATTGCCGATGGTAATTCTTTCGATGGATAACTCGAGCTATCCACGCCTCTAGTCATATTAACAATGTAATTGCCAACGGTGTTTAAAGCGCCCAAAGTTTCGGAAATCGTAACTAAAGGATCCGGTTGTTCTCGTTGTTGTTCCACTTTCGCTATTCTTACGTAAGGTCTAACCTGTATATTCCTCCTATAAATTGCTGGAGTCGATATTTGCGAGTCACGACTAGCCCAGTCATCCATCTTACTCCATCCTCGAATCGGTGACACAAACGTCTGAGATGTTCCGTACCTATTCGATACCGTCGATGCTGTCCATATTGCATGCATATTATTACACACATCGCGTATGTATTGAAAACGAATTTGTATCGGATCGAGTCAATTCGAGTTTTCGTTTCTTCCAACACACATAACTTCGTATCGTATAACAATGTAACAAATTGACAATATAAACTTACCAGTATGATAACGATAGTTGGTAACTTCTTTGGTGTATGACAAGGAACTCGTTAGCAAACTCCATATCGTGCAAAATCCTGAAACATCCGTGCGCACGAAATTCGTGATATTAAATGCGATACAGCGATACACTTACGTAGTATTGTAAGTGTCGATTACTCGAAATTCATCCCTTTTTCTCTTCTCTGAAGAATACGATTTCAGATTATACGAATATCTCTCTGACGAATTAATCGTTTGTCGCACATTTTCGAGAATAAAGTTCGTAGCAAGGTAACACGATTTACATAATTTCTACCTTAACTGAGACACGCGCTACTCGCGTTGTTGTACTACTTTTCAAAATATAACATTCGTCTGGTGTTTAAAGTATTTCAAGCCACTTTGCAATTCGTTAATTATTTCAGTTTTCGGAGTAACCGTTTTTAGCGTCGATGACAACATGATTAACACGATCTTTCAACTTTTAATCACGAGTCTAAGAATAAAATTGATAGGAGAAGAATCTTTCTAGAGCGTAGGAAGATAGATAATTCGATGCTTTCAGAAATCGAGTCGTTTAAATGTATTTTAAGATATTACACGGTAATCGATCACTGTCGATGGAAAATTAGGAAAATCTATACGATTCCTGAAATCTCTTTCTCGAGAAGAACACAAAGGAAAGCGAACGATCAAGCGAACGTTTTTAGAGTCGGTCTACGCAAACGGACTTTATCGATGGTGAAAGTTGCTCGGCGAGAAAGCGCGCCTTTCTTCCATTCACTGATTCATCACACTAAACCTACGCTATACGCATACGGCAGTGAAACAAAGAAAAGAGTACCAGGTGGAGCAGAAAAGCGCGTTTATTAATCAAGTAATTTATCTATTAAACGGAAATGTTACGATTCTCTTCCTGTCTGTAAAATCCTCTATCATCGTCATTTTTCTCTGTACGCCTTGCAAACGATTATACTATCAATTTTTCCAATTCTTTAACTAACGTTATCTTTGCTTTTAAGCAATGATCTTTCAACGAAACCTTCTCATTTTGCCTGGTATTTTTTATTTTTTCCATAATTCAACCAATTCTTTTGTTTTATTCCTCGCTGTAATACGCTTTTTGTCTTCTGTAACGATCTGCGCTATCTTGTCACTGTTTGACCCACATCATACGGACTGCTCAAACTAGATCTTGATTCCAAACGATGTAACGTTGCGAATCTATCACGGTGTGTAATTCAATGCTCTCTTGTCGTAACAGATTATATGTAATTACGTGTAATATAATGCACGGGACACGTATGGTAACAAAAGCTGTGTATAACGGGAACAGGAGAAAATGATTTTAAATTCGAAAATATACGACAAGTTAAGTGCAATAGTTTCAAGTTTTCGCGCGAATCAACATTGACGAAATTACGATCTTGAATATAATTTGAATTTGCTTTGCGCCTGTCCTTTCATACGCGAACCAGATATTAAAGATTTAATAGCGAATAAGTGCCGTTCATAAAGTTGCATGGTATTACCCGCATTACCACACTATTGCTATATTAAATCGCTCAAATCACTTACTCAAAATGATGGACAACGACATTCTGATCCAGAGTAAACATTCAATCGATCTTGTTCGCAGGCATTCCAAGCGCGTCTATCGTTATCACCGCATCTGACACCCACAACTGAACATACCACACATGCAACTATTTCAACAAAGTTGTTGCGTCCGCGAGACTACCGGTGAATTGTCCATCGTTCTATCGAACTTCAACTCATTCAGGCCGGAGAGATGGGGGAAAGAGATTGGCAAAGAGGGGGAGCGAAAATAAGTTAGAGAAAATAAGAGAAAGGAAAATGAGGTGAAGGAGGAGAAGTACGGCGGCACGAGGGTTGGAGGGGAACATAGTAGTAGAGATGGTGGTAATGGTGGGAAGTTGATAAAAAAATATGACTATCGGAAGAAAACTATGGAATCGGGCAATCGTGATTACACGAAGTAAACCTTGATCATGATGACTGTCCATGGAAAGACCTCGACACACTTTGTTTTCTACGGAACCATTCCCTCATTCTCTCCTATTTCCTTGGTCTTTCCTCGCTTTTTCTCTCCGTAGCAACTGTTATCTTACCTTTTACAATTGAAGGAAAATATTCTTTCGTAGAATATCTAAATATTCTATTCGTACTTTTCTTATGGACATTTTCCCTCTAAAACAAATACGCGATAGAAGTAATTTGCATTTTACCATAAAATGCTCGTTTTCTAAATCACAGTTCGATTGTCATTTTCATTAATATTTCGAAAGATTCGTGTTGTTAATACATATTCGTAACTAATAAAAATTAAATGCATTGAATGTGCAAACTGATTTGACGAAACGTCAACTTATTCTTTATCGGACATAAGGATTTTAATCGGCTAATCTGTTAAGGATTAATAAAATATGTTAATTATCCGCTACGCTAGGTAATTGTGTGAAACATTGCAAAACATATAGTTCTAATATACCATAAATTTATTTATATTATAGTAGTTGTCACTATACTGAAACATGTACGTGTACTTCACGTATAAACTTAGATTCCAATGTTGTTAGATACATTGTTCTTGTACACTGTTCTTATGGAATTCAATATACAAATTGTTCAATCATATTCTTATGAGAATATGTACGTATTTCTACAAGGAATTGATTGAAGGTACATAATGTAACTATTTGTAACACTATATGGTTTGTCTTATCGTCCTATAAGAATATATTCAATGATGTAAATGAGTGCACATCATTGTTTGAAATGAATTGCAAGTAACAATCGATACAACACATCATATAAATGTAATTCTGCTATAGACAAAGAAATAAAAATGTGTCTCACCTCGAACGTCTCACTCCCTAAATCGCTAAATCGTATCTATTAACAAATGTACAATAGTCCATTACACTTCAGTATTACATATACTCGATACATTATGGATAGGTCCAAATATGTGTTTACATTTTCCCAATGAATACTAATGAAATATTGCCTTTCAGCAGTGATGATAACAATAGCATTAATAACAATATATCAGTGTCAGTGCCAGTGTCAGTGCCAGTGCCAGTGCCAGTGCCAGTGTCAGTGTCAGTGTCAGTGTCAGTGTCAGTGTCAGTGTCAGTGTCAGTGTCAGTGTCAGTGTCAGTGTCAGTGTCAGTATCAATACTGGCAATAGTATCATCATTATTATCATCATCACCACCATCACCATATCCACTAATACTAATACAAACACCATTGCCATCACCACCATTGTCAACACAACCACCATTACCACATCCATCACCATCACCATCTTCGTCATCGTCATGATCATTATCATCATTATTATCTGCAGCAGCAGCAATAGCAGCAACAGCAATAGTAGTAACAGTAGCAGTAGCAGTAGCAGTAGCAGTAGCAGTAGCAGTAGCAGTAGCAGTAGCAGTAGCAGTAGCAGTAGCAGTAGCAGTAGCAGTAGCAGTAGCAGTAGCAGTAGCAGTAACAGTGGCATTAGCATTAGCAGTAGCAGTAGCAGTAGCAGTAGCAGGAGCAGCAGCAGGAGCAGCAGCAGTAGCAGTAGCAGTAGCAGCAGCAGTAGCAGCAGCAGTAGTAGCAGCGGCAACGGTAGCGGTGGCAGTAGCAGTAGCAGTAGCAGTAGCAGTAGCAGTAGCAGTAGCAGTAGCAGTAGCAGTAGCAGTAGCAGTAGCAGTAGCAGTAGCAGTAGCAGTAGCAGTAGCAGTAGCAGTAGCAGTAGCAGTAGCAGTAGCAGTAGCAGTAGCAGTAGCAGTAGCAGTAGCAGTAGCAGTATAATAGTAGGAGTAGCAACGCGGATAGCAGGAGTAGTAATAGTAGTAGTATAATAGTAGGAGTAGCAACGCGGATAGCAGGAGTACTAATAGTAATAGTATAATAGTAGAGGTAGCAGCAGTGACAGCAGGAGTAGTAATAGTAGTAGTATTAGTAGTAGTAATAGTAGTAATAATGATAATAGTGGTGATACAAGTTTTATTTTCTTCATTGAACCATAGATGAAAATGGAACTTCGAAAGCGGCGCAATTGTCATTAAAACGTTATGAACCTGGAGACTTGAATCTCATTATTAATGATCATTGAGACGAATGTCAAGAGTGAAACATCCAGTTCGGTTTAATCTATTCAGAACTTAATTAAGAAATAGCGATACAAATACAAGCGTCGAAAAAGAGTTCGAAGGCGTATGTATATGTAATTCGTCAGTGAGAAATTATTTGCTCTATCAGCGAATTACAATTTATCTAACAAATGCACGCAATTACGTTACATCCGGAACTTACTCGTACGATTAATTTCTGAAGTATAATGAAGTTTGATTTGTCAATAATATAAATAATAATTTAGTGTGCGTGTGCATATGAATCAGTGAGTGTGAACACGTTCATATGTGCCTTGCGTCAGAAACGGGTGGATATAAAAATTCATGTTATAATGGGATGAATTAGAGGTACAAGATCAATATTTTCTCATGCTCGGCATAGACGACTTGTATGGATCGAAACGATCATACGAAGGTGCAGTTCCAGGTGCTGTTAATCCCATTGATTGGATAGGACCGCTTTGATACGTTGGTGGTACTGGATGTCGTAATGTGTTTCCCATGCTACTTGAATTACTCCATCTGAAATAAATTCGTTTATTCGATACTTCTTATTTTCGAATATAATAGAAATTTATCGGGAGAAAAGAAAATTGATTTGTCCTGTACCTGTTTACATTGTCGGACGACCTAGAACTCCAACTGGATGGTTCATTTCGGGGATCTCGAGTACCACTACTTGGTACAGAATTAAATGATTTTGTAGACGGAGGTCCAGAGTGCCAGCTGCTAGTTGTTCGATTGCTTTCAACGTATCGACTGTCACCTGCGCGTGTGTATAAGTTTTGCGATAACTAAACCTTAATCAGAAATTTATCTGAGACTGTGAAAATTCTTTTATACTAACGTGGAGTGCTGGAACCTGTAGGTTTAAAACTTTCACTGTATCGCGTATGACTATCCTTAGAACTTCTATGGGTATCCGTTTCAGAACGTCTAACATCGCGATCACGAGCATAAGTGGTTGTACTTGCACGTTCATACCTATATAAAGACATTTCAATGAAGATTCATTCAATTTCTCTCGTTCAAAGAATCAAAATATTGTGCACTTTTATTTTAAAATGCGTATCTTTGTTTTACCTTTCCTTAACTTGTCGAGGGTCGATAGACGTTGCTGTTGTGCTAAGAGTTTCGCGACGTACAATTACTTCTCTCCCTCGGGATACCTCAGAAAAGCTTTCAGGGCGGCTACTACGAGAAGTAAATTCGCTACTGCGTTTAAATTCCTTTTTCAATCCTAAATCTTGCGCGGATCTGAAATTTATTATGACTATTTCATATTCTTCCTTCTTTCATTGAGTAGAGCAAAATATAAACTGCACATCTTACCTACTAGATTCGTAGCGAGTAGGTGGCGAAGCATCCAGTCGCCTATCCGAGACACGATCCAAAATTTCACCACGTCGGTCACTCACACGTTCTGGAATGTGTTTTCGACTGTGTTCAGTAGCCATACGCTTCCTGTCTGGTTCGACATACATATCTCTTGGATCCCGTCTGTCACTGGAACATCGCTTAATGGAAGGTGGTGGTGGAGCACGTCTACTCTCTTCTAATCGCATCTGTTGTCTTTTCAATTCCAATCTTTCTCGTTCTAGCTTCTCCCGTTCTAGTTTCTGACGTTCTCGTTCAAGTCGAAGCAATTCGGCTTTCTCCTGCTCGATTCTTTCCCTTTCTCTTCGTAATTTTTCCCGTTCCCTTTCTAGACGCGCGGCCTCTTCTCTTTGCCTACGTTCTACTTCTCTTTGTCGTTCCATATCTTCTCTCCTTCTTCGTTCTTCCTCACGAAGCATTCTCTCTCTTTCGCGTAGCCTTTGCCTTTCTCGTTCCTCCTAAGTATATACATAGCAAGTTATACTATAGCTTCGTAATTGCTCTTCAGGTTACTAAATCGCTAGATTATAGAAAAATATTTTATCATCAATAATATCGATTTACCCTGATTTTTGCAAATGTCAGTACATCGTCGCGTCTACGTCGTTCACGGCTGCGAGACCGAGTGTGAGATCGGTGATGATCCCAGGATCGAATTCTTTTCTCATCGCGTCTTCCCCTCTCACTCTCGGGTTTCTTGCTAGTCGACTTAGTTGACCGAGAATCCGTATCTTTTGAAACTTCATCTTTCTTTTCCTGCACTTCTGCCTTTTTATTTTCAATATTCTCGTTGTTCTTCTCATCTGTCTTTTTCGCTGTTGCAATATATTTAAATATTTATTTTATAACACATATATTTAATTGTCATTTCGCAAGATTATTTATTTAAAAATTACTCACTTGCTTCCGATCCTTTATCCTCTGCTTCCTTCTTCATTTCCTTATCTTTTCGATCACTGATATCATGATTATCCTTTGACTTCTCTTTTTCTTCCTTTTTCTCAGATTTTCCGTTTGTAGTATCCCGTTTGCGCATGTGGCTTTGTTGAGTATCGCCTTTGGCCTTTAAACACAAAATGAGAGAACACACTGTGAGGGAAAATATGCATAACTAGGTCTTTAGGAGAATAGGAATTTTCTGTTTTTCTTATCTCATGTACCTTTTCAACGGATATTACACGGCCGTGCAGTTCAGTTCTATGCAAATGTTGTATACATTTTGCGGCATCTTCGCTAGTAGACATAGTCACGTATCCGTAACATCTGGCCCCCGGTGTTCTTGCATTGGTAACCACTTTTGCACCTATCACTTTTCCATATTTTGAAAATATTTGCTTCAAATCTGTCGCACGAGTACTCGATGATAACCCGGATACCCACAAATTCCTGCTACTCGCATTAATGGGACTAATTTGCGAAGTCTTTTTGTCTGTACAATGAATTAAATCATATAAATAAATAAAGATTAAATAAAAAATAGTACCTGAATTATAATATTGCTATTAATTACTTCAAAATCCAATTATAAATCTGCAAATAAAATTTAACTCATTTAATAATTACCTTTGTCATCTCTCTTTTGGCTCTTGTTACTTGATTCCGCACTGAAAACAATTATTATTTTCATTATATTTGCCATTCAATTGAGTACCTCTCATTACATTCGAAAGATAATATTTTGGAAACGACTTGTCTTTCGAGGCTTAATTAGATACCTCTGTAACTATGTTAAGCATATAAATTTGGCTAGCAACTTTTATCTTTATACTGACATCATCATTATCATCACAGATGTTACCATAATTATAATTATGATCATCAAAAACTCCATCATCACCATCATCATCATCGTTGTCGTTGCCCCCGTCCATGTCTTCGTCCTTATCATTGTCATCGTCATCATTATCATTATCATTATCATTATCATTATCATTATCACTGTCGTCATTAAGATCACCGTCGTTATCGTTGTCATTATAATCGTTATCGTCGTCCCTATCATCATTGTTAAGATTATCAGCACCACACTACCACAGCTACCATCATTATCTACATTATCGTCATCATTGTCATTGTCATTGTCATTGTCATTGTCATTGTCACCGTTACCATCGCCATCACCATCACCATCACCATCACCATCACTGCCATCGCCACCATCACCATCGCCATCACCATCGCCATCACCATCGCCATCACCACCATCACCCCCATCACCACCATCACCACCATCACCACCATCACCACCATCACCACCATCACCACCATCATCATCACCACCATCATCACCACCATCATCATCACCACCATCATCATCACCACCATCATCATCACCACCATCATCATCACCACCACCATCATCACCACCACCACCATCACCACCACAACCACCTCCACCACCACAACCACCTCCACCACCACAACCACCTCCAGCACCAAAACCACCACCACCACCACAACCACCATCACCACCATCACCACCACTACCACCACTACCACCACTACCACCACCACCGCTACCATCATTACTACCACAATCAACATTACCATCTGCGTCGTCATCATCATTATCATCGCCCCATCATCATTAACGCTAGCACCAACACCACCACTACAACTTCCATCACCATCATCATCATCATTGCCATCGTTGGAACCTCCACCATCATTATCATCATCATCATCATAAACGTTATCACTGTCATTATCGTTATTATCGTTATCGTCATCGTAACCATGACTGTGATTGTGATCATAGACGTGCTTGTTGTCGTCATCGTCATCGTCATCGTCATCGTCATCGTCATCGTGGCCGTAGTTGCTGTCATAGTCGTCATAGTTTACATCATCACCACCGTCATCGTCACCATCATAATCATCATCATCAGCAGCAGCAGCATCATTATCCTGTCAGAATTACCATCCTCCTCATGATCATCATTATTATTACCATCTTTACCATCATCACGAATATCACCATTATCACCGTCATCAGCATAATCATCATCGATATCAACGTCATTGTCACTGTCATTGTCATCGTCGTCGACACCAGCATTTACATCATCATCATCCTTGTCGCAGTCATCGTAATTCCCGTCGCCGTCGTCGGCATCGTCATCGTCGTCGGCATCGTCATCGTCATCGTCATCGTCATCGTTATCGCCATCACCACCATTACCATCATAATCATCATCATTGTTATAAATCGTCATCGTTATTGTCATCACCATCGTTATCATTAAGGGCAGCAGCAGCAACAACAACAGCAGCAGCAGCAGCAGCAGCAACAGCAGCAGCAGTACAACAGCAGCAGCACAATAGCAGCAGTAGTAACAGCATCGTCGCCATCATCATTAGCATTATCGATGTTGCTATCGTTATAATCATCATTGTCATCATCGTCATAATCTCCATCATTAAAATGATCATTATTATTATCATCATCATCATCGTGATAATTTTATTTATCATCACCATTTTCATAATTATCATTGTCACCATTATCGTCACTACCACCATTATTATCATCATTAATGTTACAGTCATCATCATTGTCATTATTGTCACTATCATTATCATTATCATTTCCATTATAGTAGTTAATGATAAAGATAACATCAATAATCAAACAGCAATAATAACAACAGCGACAATAACAATAACAACAGTAACAGCAATAATAATAGAAATAACAGTAATAGTAACAATAATTAGATATTCGTTTTGGCATTCATTTATACATCATTATGATATAATTTGTTAGCATTTTACTGAAATATTGCTACGTTTCACTGCAGTTGAATCCACTTTTCATCGTTCGTGTTTAATGAAAGTATGTTGATGCAAGTAATACATTTGTATTGCATATCCTTCTCACACAAGTTTTCCGAACATAATAGCATTTTTCCTTCGAAGTCCTTCGCAGTGGGCTTGACAGTAAGTTGCAACAAATATCAACACATATGCTTCGTTGTGAGTTGTAACAAGTATTGACCCATACGCGATAATAGAGTAGCAGTATCTTCGATGAATGATATGATTGCTTGATGTTGTGTTATAGCTTAAGTTGGATCTGTCAAGTGCATAATTTATCTCGAGATGCTAATAATCTTGTTACCATGCTCGACGAAACTGCTGTTTAGTTTATAAATGAGTATTTCCATCAGAGAGAGAAGGTAGAAAAATATTCGTTTACAAATAGGTGCGGTATGTATGAAACTTGATTTGGTTAAGTTTGCTAGCCAATTTCTCGATTTCTTAACATACTTTCCAGAGTTAAGAATTACAGCCTAAACGTACGAGATCGGAAAGGAACTTCGTATGCGATTGAAAAAAAGGGAATAAAGTAATCTTGCGTGCGACTGTGACGAATAATTCAGCTTGAAAATCCATCGTTTGACAGTATCTTATCCTGATGGTATTGTATGCGGCAGAAGAGCATTGCTAGCATAGAGTTGTGTGACATTTCGTTGTCGTACCACTGTGAACCGTTTACCAATGAGAGACCAACCTCTTGCTTCCGTCTCCGCCACTGTCCTGCTTGCTCTTCGTCCCGATGTTTCCACCTGATGTTGTCCCTTCCTTGTTGTTGGCACCAGCTTCTGCTCTACTGCTCCCTTTAGAGTCTCCCTTCTTGTTTTCTTCCACTTTCTTCTTTTCTCCTCCATCTGCAGAGACAATCAAGGTAGAGCATAGTCACTTTCTGCGAAGCCAGATTTCTTCTCCCTCCCTAACACTTCTGCTGCTTAGTAGCCTGTATTTTCTGCATGGAATTTTCCCAAGCCACTAACAGATTGCGGAATAAATTATGATGAAGATCGCATGATAGCAATATCACAAATTCATTCTTCAATGGTTTAATCCATAGCGACCCCTGTCTTTTTTTTCGATTTTCTAACGACTTAAAATTACCTTCGTATTTTTAAATGAAATAGATCCAGAACAAAAGACTAAATTGAAAGAAAAATCTAGAGGAGATGAGGCAGTCAGATCTAGGAAAAGGAAAAGGAAAATGAAAAATTGGAAAAAAAGGAATACGTATATAAACACGCGGAATACGCATACATAGACGCTCGCCCGCATGTACAATATTATGTTGGTAACTGATTTTTGCGATAGCAAAATAGTTGTGAGTTAGAATGACCATGCGATTATTTTAAGTCGATAGTTTCAAGACATTGATTTCTCCGCGATGATAAATAATGATGCATCATCAACTGTACATAGGGCAAATTTTTGGCTGCACATACACTTGAGTCTTCTTGTATCCATATAATCCGGAGACCAAACAATCCAACGATGCTCTATGTGGTTAGGTAGAATTAAATGTAACTTTATATAAAACTCTAGCGTTAACTAACTTATAAACTAACACTTATGGGATAAACTTTGTAGAACATAGTTGATATTAAACTGCACACAAGAATGTCGACGGATATGTTTCATTTTGATTAAAACCTTGTCGATCATCGTGCTATAATACTTTGCAGTTATATTACTGCATGCCGTGTCCATATGAGAAATGATTGCATCGCGTCCTGCGTACGTGGTTGTTGCAAACAGAGGCTCGCCGATCTGACGAAGATGAGGTATGAATTTTGTTGACGAATCCAACACACTCTGGATAGATGAGGATATTTTATACGTAGATAAACATGTCCCTTGGTCTTGATGCCACATAATTAAATAACTTACTCATGACCGTAGATAACGATAATGCTATATATATTCCTTCAAATCTTATGTCTATGCATGCATACGCGCGCGCGCGCACACACACACGCACGTGTAATAAAATATGCAATTTGTGTGTGTGTGTGTCTGTGTGTGTGCACGTGTGCGCGTCTGTGCGTGCGTCTGTGTCTGTGTGTGTGTGTGCGCGCGTCTGTGTGTGTGTGTGTGTGTGTGTGTGTGTGTGTGCGCGCGCGCGCGTCTGTGTGTGTGTGTGTGTGTGTGCGCGCGCGCGCGCGTGCGTGCGTGCGCGTCTGTCTGTCTGTCTGTCTGTCTGTCTGTCTGTCTGTCTGTCTGTCTGTCTGTCTGTCTGTGTCTGTGTCTGTGTGTGTGGGTGTGTGTGTGTGTGTGCGCGCGCGCGCGTGTGTGTGTGTGTGTGCGCGTCTGTGTGTGCGTCTGTGTCTGTGGGTGTGTGTGTGCGCGCGCGCGCGTGTGTGTGTGTGTGTGCGCGTCTGTGTGTGCGTCTGTGTCTGTGGGTGTGTGTGTGCGCGCGCGCGCGTGTGTGTGTGTGTGTGCGCGTCTGTGTGTGCGTCTGTGTCTGTGGGTGTGTGTGTGCGCGCGTCTGTGTGTGTGTGTGTGTATGTATATGTATGTATGTATGTGTGTCTGTATGTATGTATGTATGTATGTATGTATGTATGTATGTATGTATGTATGTATGTATGTATGTAGGTACGTACGTACGTATGTATGCATGCATGCATGCATACAATATTGCGCGCGCGCGCGCGTGCACGTGTGTTTATGTATATGTGTGTGAAATGTTTAAGTCGATATATAACAAAACTTACCCTTGTGCCTTTCATGAGACTCTGTCTGAAATATACAAGGCAAAATACAAGTCATTAATATAACAGTTTCTACTTTTTTCTCTTTTCTTTTTTTTTTAAATATAATAGAATTATAATATAATTAAATCTGTTACCTCCTCAGCAAGGAGATTTTCTTCATCTTCACCAATAGTTAGATTGATGGAATCTTCATTGTCGATACCATTAGCCTCAATAGTTGAAACTGAATTAGTTGCATTTTGATTCACTGTGGCAGTTACATCGGATTCTACTTTCTTATCATTAACTTGCATATTTTCAACTGGACATTTATTCATATGATTTTTAACTTCCTGCTTATACTCCATCTCTTTACAAACATTATTCTGAATTTCACTTTGAGATTCCTACAACAATTTTTCTTTTATTTCACGATTCTTCTAAATATATGCTTTTACAGTAGAACTTAACATGTTATCTATATTTACTTCTATCCTAGATGCTGTTATATTTTCCTCCAATGTAGGTTTTGTTTCTAATTTTGGTTTTACTTCATTATTATCTGATATTTCCATACTTTCTTCTTTCTGACTTTCTAATGAATCAACAGATTCATCTTGATTTGTTGTACCTGTTACTGAAATCCCCAAAACATATGTTTTGAATAAATAATTTTAAATGTACTTTGTCTCTTTCAAATAAAGTTACATACCACTATTTTTCCTTGGACTAACTTTGCATAATCCGCCACAAGGTACAATCAAGTATTCATCAGGATCTTGACCATCATCAGTTATGGCCTTCGTACATCAAAATAATAAATAAATTACCGTAATTGTAATAATAATAATAACTATAAAAATGTAAAACTACTACATCACAAATTATGCTACTTTTAACTACATGCAATTAGGGAATTTTGTTCTCCAAAAGAAGTATTATAATAATTATTCTAAATATTAATATTTTTGTATCCGTATAAATAGGATATAGTTTAAATAAATTATCGCCGCTTTCAGGGGGGTTAAAATGGCGACAAAACAACGAACAGTATTGTTAGTAAAATCTTAACAAAAGTTATTCAAAGAGTAAAATAATTTACTTTGGAGAGACGCTCGAGAAGTGCTGCTTTATTGCCAGTTTTGTCTAATCCACGACGTTCAAGTTCTGTTTTCAAATCTATGACTCGCAGTTCAGTAAGCTTTTTTCCCTCAACATCGGCCATTATTCTCGAACACTGATGTTCTATACAAGGTACGCTTACGCTTCTAATTTTATCGCTCTAGCAAGTAGAATTTTACGAATGTATCTTAGTGCATAAACTTAATGAAATTACAAAATTACGATATAAAGGTGGAATAGGTGAAGGATTTTTCAAAATCACAAAGAAAAAATTACGACAACACACTTTGATACGAACTATCCATCGTTGTCGCCATTTAACGGAAATGACCGGAAGTAATTCTCACACCAAGTGAGTAGAATAGCCAATCTGAAAAATTAAGAATACTATTAATTGGAAAATTACTAGGATAGTAGTCCTTCAATATTTTATAATTTCCGAATTGTAGTTATGTGAAATTAAATATATTAAAAATATAAAATTTTGTAGATATATATAAAATAGTATGAATATATATACGAAATAGATAGACGATATTCAGAGTTATAGTTATTTTACTAACCAAAGAAATTTCTCACTGGTTACAATTTTGAGAACGTAATACGTCAAAGTTGATTAAATGATATAAAATGACGTAATTACGTTTACGTTTATGAGTAAAATAGAATAAGGTTGTATAAAATGTTAAAATACAATTATTTTATTCGCTGAAGAATTTAAAGATTATAGTTTACACGTTTACGTATCTGGGTATATCTTTGTTATCTTTGATAAGAAAAATTAAACTATACATTATTGATTCGTGTACTGTAAGTAAAGTGAATACAATCATTTAATGTTGTATTAAGCCAAGAATCTATAAACGTAAACTGTATAGTTCTTATATTGATTTATCGGTATGCCTGTAAGTAAAATATTTTAATATAATGTTGAATATTACGATTTAACGAATTTATACATAGTTGGGCGTCTTTCTTAACCTATTTACACTTCTTTTTATGAACTTTAAGATTGTGCATTGAGTATGAATCTATAGAATAAAATATGACTGTCACATATATTTCATTGTATTACATTTTATTATAATACTATGAGAACTTCTCAGTTTTTTCTTGCAGGCATATCATTCGAGCTTCGTTGAAAACAATGGAAATATTGGTAATATGGCACTTCTGCCAATTAGAACACATTTTAGAGGTCCGGCACCGCCTTTTAATAATAAAGATTTAGATATAATTGATGAAGCATTATATTTTTTCAAAGCAAATGTGTTTTTTAGAACATATGAAATTAAGGTATAAATCCTGTATACGTTTATGTTTACAATGCAATCTTTGTTTCAAAGAATATTAAATGGTGTGTTGTTTTAGAGCGAGGCTGACAGAGTTTTGATTTATATTACATTATACATAACAGAGTGTTTGAAAAGATTACAGAAATGTGCAACTCAAACTCAAGCCACAAATGAAATGTATTATCTTGCTATTTCAAAATTTGATATTCCGGGTGATCCTGGCTTTCCGCTGAATTCAGTATATGCAAAACCAAGTAATCCTTTAGAAGCAGGTAATACATTCTATATTAATCTCTTCATCAAGGTAAAAATTATTAAATAAGAAGAAGAGATTATAAAAGGAAGTTATTGAAGAAAAAAGTTCAAAATTAAACTCATTTGAATGATGAAATTTGTTTTCATAGATACTATGAGGCAATATTTGCAACAAATAAGACAAGAGACAGGCACTAGACTTGTAGAGAAGGTATATGGTGAAGATGGTAAACCAAGCAAATGGTGGTTATGTTTTGCGAAGAAAAAGTTTATGGATAAATCATTATCTGGTCCAGGACAGTAAAGTATATTTTTTAATGTTACCCTTAGAATATGTATAATGCATAAATATAGACATTTATTATATGCTATTATATGGATTTTAATAATAATATTTCTGTAAAATTAAAGAAGATCTTAATATCAAGAATTTGAAAAAGAGAAGAATTGTAACATAAGAATTTTTTTGTAAATTTTACATACTATGCACTTATGCGTGTAGCTAAAATAGTAATGTATGTTTGTATTTACTTCATTTTGAAGAGAGAAATATAATAAGATATAAAAGAACTTATTAAGGAAGAAATATTTATTTTGTACAGGATATACCATAATATTGATACAAATATTTATAATATATCAATGAAATGATGTATCATGTATATATAAAAGCCACTGTTAGAAAAATTTGAACAATTTATCGCTTTCTACGAAGGGATAAGGAGTTTCTTCTTAGCCATGCTGCACGACGAGATCCACCAATAGTTTGAGAATAACGATGTCCTTTACCTAAACCTCGCGAACTTCTGCCAGCTGATGTCTTCCCACGAAGTTCACGATGTTTGTGTACTGCGTTACATACCCAATTGACTTTTGGATCATTACGAATTGCCTGAAATATAATTAAAATATTAATAATAAATTGATTTTGATTGCGTTACAAAATTTTTGCTCTTTTTACTCGTTCAGGCATCCAAGGAAGATAATAAATCATAATACTTCAATAATATGTTGCAATGTCATCATGTTTTATAGATATTTGTAAAAATGTTATGAAACCTTATAAAAATTACCTTATGTGCCGGATCAACCAAAATAACTTCATAATATTTATATGAAGAGTCCTGAGCTACCCAATAACTGTTCAATACTCGTAAACCGCCACAACGGCGACCGACACGTTCCTAAACATAATTGAACTGTCAGATATTATTTGTTAAATAATTGAAAAGAAAGAGGTACAAGAATTGTTTTCTATATAAACTAGTATTTTAATTGTTATGAACTTACTTCTGCAACAGACTGTAATTTTCTGGTAGGTTTCAACTGATTCACACCATGACTTTTTGGCTTTCCGTAAGTTGCACCTTTAGGAACTGGACGTTTACGACCACCTCGCCTTACACGAATTCTAAATATGACAAAACCTGTGTATTGAAAGTAAAATTTTTCATCAATATTATATGTATCAAATTTTATATAGTTTGAATTAACAGAATATTAGTATCAGTATATACATCTGTATCACCATATAAGTGTAAGCGTGGTGCATGATATATCTCATCATGCATGTCTCTTAAATATCTATACATTGTATTGACAGAAAAGGTAATAGGAAATAATGAAAAATGAAATTGTATAGCGAGGATAGTAAATTATTCTAGAATAACAATGTTAACTTAAAGATGTAACTAATATAATTTCTATCACATTATACATCTTACAGAAAAAGTACAAAATTCATACCTTGTTTAGCTTTATAACCCAAACGCCGTGCTTTATCTGGTCTAGATGGTCTGGGGGCACGATGCATTTTAGTTAATTGACGATATTGCCAGCATCTAACACGGAGCAAGAAGCGGAGTACATCACTTTGCTTTTTACGATAAAGTTCTTGCATATACTTATACGCGCCCATAGTGAATCTCTGAAAAATGTCCGAAAAACAAAATAAGACTGAGAAAAGCAGAACGAAAGAAAATTAGATTCATGCAGCGCATGAAGTTTAGTTTGAATTAAAATTAACGATTATTGAAATCAGCTGAATATTTCATTATATATGTAAAAACATGTGAGAAGCTGACGAATTGTGTATCGGTGTCGTTAATTTCTTCAGTAAAATAAATGTAATATTTTCGTAATAAAATCATAATAATATTTTCTATGAACACAGTTGACAATAAATTTCTACTATATGTTGTACAAAAATACGCTCAGATTCATCAGATATGACGCGATTTTAGATTCCGTAGCACTTACCCCCGACAAATGGAACAGACGGAAAGGACTATAACCTCTTCGGATTTGATATGTTGAGCCATTGTATTATAAATGTTGAAGATAGTATATTCAATGGTACGAGTATTGAATATAGAGACATCTGTGGGTAAGAAAGCAAATCAAATTTTTAACATGCTTCATATATCGGTAATGTGAAAAAATGAAAAAAAATGAAGAAAATTTAATCGCGATAATTATGTGACTGTATACAATACAGGAAAAAATTCTTAATTGTAGTAGAAGAAATCAAGTAGAAATATTCGATATCAAGTCATATAGTTTAAGGTGATTCTAATGAGGGAACGCATATTTAAATGTATATGTTCAATAAGATGAAAACATTATGATACATGTATAAATTAATTAAATACCTTTCAAAGCAATCTTTAATAAATAGTTCCATATTTTCTTTTTATTTCTTTTTGTTTTGTTAACATTTTTGTTAAAATTATGGTGTTAGGTTTGCTTGAATTTTACTTTTGAAACTATAAAGCATATTTGCTTTGGTCTTAATTAATTACCACGGTGAATTAAATGTTTGAAAACTTACGATGGAAAATGCATGGATAATCGATGATATTCGAAAAATGTTATAAAAAATTATGCAATTAGAAAAATGTTATGTGACTTGAACGGTTTTATTATTGAGCGACCCGGTGACCTCTTGTCGACTCGAATTGATTATTTCATGAAAGGTAGTATACGAATAAGTGGTGGTTAAGAAGACGTAGTCCGTGATGGAGAGTCATTCGGATAGCATAAAAGATCCAATTTATTATCCTCCAATGCAAGAAGTCACAGAACGAAACGGAATAATGGCGGAAGCTGAAGCAATTGATAGAAGCAACTCTGCTGGTAGTCAAGATCTTGGTCTAGAAGAAAGTAACAAGTTGAAAGTGCCGCGCAAATTTATTGCTAATTGGCGACAAGCTTGTGATCGTACACGCGACAGGACCAAAGATTTATTAAAGAGATGGCGGACTGTTTCGACCAATGTTGATGGAATCGTTAGTGTTCCAGTTTGCAACAAGCAATTGGAACATCCTAGTTGGAGCGTACACGTGTGGAGTAAGATTTCATAATTTTAGTTTATAAGACAGAAGTTATATGCGGTTTTATAGGAAAGAATGAATAGAACAGATTGAAATAGATAAAGTACAAACAATAGTAACGTAAAGAGAAGCATAGAAAATTTCTTTATTGCAAGCATTTAATAACAATTACACATACACGTGCACGCGTGTTTATCATTTTGTAACATTTTATATTAATCAATTATTTTTCTTTCCTTTTCTTTTTCCGTTTTCATTTGACTTTTGTTTCCTTGTGTTTTGTTGTTTGTATTTTTGATAAAACAGCAACTTGGGTGAGTCGATATCCAAGCGACGAAAATGTAATGGCTATAGAACAAGTCGGTAAGGGAGGAAAGTTAAAAGATCTGGCCCCTATTCAACGTGACAAGTTTTCACATTTTTTCACTTACCTCTTGGACCACGATAAAGATGGTTTTATTAATCGAAAAGATTTTCGGTTGCTTTCAGAGGTATGTCTATGAATATAGGAAGATAACTTGGCTAAGCTTTAATAATGCGAGATTCATGTTAACATTTCAACACTTTTGAAAGCGACTGAGAAGATTTGCGGATTGGTCATGGAATGGTCCTGAATACTTACGATTAGTAGAAGCTGAGCAAGGATTGGCGGATTTAATCTTTCGAGAGAAGAAGTACGAGGGTGACCGAGCAAGAAACATTAGCCTGGAGGAGTGGTTGGGTTGGTGGGCACATGTGGTCGCACCAATTGGAGGTGCAACCTATAGCGACATTCCATTTTGGTTAAAAATTTTGCCACGAATATTTTTCCTCGCTATTAATAGCTCCGTGAATGGAATGATCTCAAAAAAGGAGCTCGGATCATTTTACGGATCAGTCGTTGGTCTAGATTCTGACAGGATCTCCAAATATCTGGATATGGCGTACGATTCTCTAACTTCGGTAAAAAAAGAACCTTTACTATAATAAATTATTATATTATGACAGAAAATGAATTTTAATGTATATGTAGGCGTTTATTACGATTAATATTACTGTTAAGACTAAAGCTTAAGTCTAATATACATAAAGATCATGGAAAGTATTGAAATAAAATAAAATAAAACAAAGTCAAACATCGTATAAAAGAAAGAGAAAGAAAAGACGAGAGCGCGGAAAAATGGTGGAAATTTAGAATCGGGCTGGAAATTGAACAGAAAAAGGGGGGTAGGGTTAGTAAAATGGAAAGTAAATGATAGTTAATTTAAAAGAAATATTTTTGTGTTTTCTTTAGAATGGGGATCATCCTCTCGGTTGGCCGCAGTATCAACTCATATTCGCCAACTTTTTATTTGGTCGCGGTCCATTTGGGCCAGGAGAACATTTTCTCGGTATGACAGATTCCTGCATAATTCGGGACAACAATATACCATTCCCGATCGATTATTCCGCGATGAATACACCTAAAGACAAATTAGAGGTATACAGGCCACATTGTAAGAGTAGTCGACGTAGTGTGGTAGTTTAAAAAGTAACAATGCATTTAATAAACAATAGGCGAGAACAGTGTCAGTAACATGTTACAAGAAGAAATAGATATGGGTATATAAAAATGACTATACGTACAAATATACCGATATATTCAGTGTATTCGGTAATTTATTTTATAGTATAAGAACGAGGGTGTGTGTGTGTGTGTGTGTGTGTGTGTGTGTGTGCGTGTGTGTGTGCGTGTGTGCGTGCGAGAGAGAGAGAGAGAGAGAGGGAGGGAAATCATTTTATTTATTAACTTATTTATTTAAACGGGTAATACGACATTAGTGTAAGAAGGAAAAAATACAATAGAGTAGAGAAACTTTATTTGTCTGTTTGATTATGCGCAAACGTTAATCGACTCGGTGGAAAATATTCATTAATATTTACTGTGAAGTAAAGATATATGTAATCATGTTTGACAAAAATAATGATGGATCAATGGTGAATCGGAAATATATAGCACAATATATGGATTCTCGGAAATATAAAGCACAATGCATCAAACGACTAGGATGAACAATGTTTCAATAAATGCAGCGTCCGTAAAATATCGCTAACGTGCCAAGGAAGCGTAGAGTATACGGAAAAAGCAAGATATACTGAAATTATTACAATATCCTGCCTCTTGTAGCTCTCATTAGACAGTTTTCGCCCATACTGCCAGCACAAACGATTCAATTTCACACTCGTTTGTTCCTCTTAAAATTCGGAAGAGACCGTCCTCACCCCACTGCGGACCCCAAGAGTTAACAACAAGCTGGAGGAAAAGATTAATTTATTACATACATATATATACACATACGCGCAAGTACGCACGCATGTACGCACATATATCCTCCCTATGAAAGAAGAAGAAAATTTCGAAAAGTTTTACCCAATATTTGATCGGCAAATCGTGATAATGCATTATTGTATCTTCTCCCCATCCAATAATCCTAACCGAATGGTAACCGAATTCATAGTCTTCGGTGGTCGATGTATGTTTGTATATTCCCGATTCGTAAGAAAAAAAGTCTTGATAGACCCTCATGGTGGCTATAAGGATAGTGAAGGTGGATTGTGTGGTAAAAAAAGATTACATATATACATACCTTGGACTGGCCCTGATGTTAGAATTTCTTGCATAATGTCGGTTTCGTTACCCAGCCGATAAGCCGGACCAACTTTGTATAATTCTGTTCGAAGCGCATTTACTGGATCGCGACAGCCCGCGGTCTTCAAGTCTGTTCTTTTTCGTAGTTTGCACTGATCATTCTTGCCTTCCCATGGGTAGCAATATTCGTCGACTAGGCTGGAAAAGAAAACCCACGGAAAGGAAAGGATATTGGTATAATCAGCAATTTCAACAAATGGATTTACCCGAATTTTCGCATGTACAACCATGCTCTGTCTAAATATCCACCGCTACAAGCTTGCTGTCCTCTGTTGTTGCATGAAAGTAAATGCTGTGCACTAAGAAGAACACTATCAGCACCCTTACTCATCACACCAAATCTGTCAGAAGCGACGCGTGCGGTGGAAATTGCCCACGATGCACCGCACCAACCTTGATCGTCTACACCCGAAATCTCACGAGGCCATCGTGACCTGGCATCGAACTCTCGTGGCAGGGACTCCGGATTATAAATCCGTCGCACATAGTTCATTCTGTAAACCTTGAATGACCGATCGATGATTGACCGAAACTTTCGAATTAATCAAATTGGATGGAAATTGCGAATGTCAGTGATATCTACCGAACGTGATGGATTTAAGGTACCAAGACGAAGTTGGACACCCTCGTTTAATGTCCTACCCCAAAATTTCGAATAATTTCGTGCTCTCCAAGTCAAAGATGACAACCGATTGTTCGAATTGATTTCGTTTATTAAATCCGGTTCTTGTAGACATCGATTCTGTTCGCAAAGTACTTCAGCACGCCTACCCACTGCGGCACATTTACTAAAATATAAAAGGATAAAGGGAAGAAATATGTATCAGGTGTTTAATTTTATCTGATATAAAATAGAAGTCAGTTGACCGCTTGCACTATAGAAAGAAAAAGGAGCAAAAGGTGTACCATATGTTGCAATTGATCCTAAACGTTTGACCATCGTTGTAATCTTTTCCCTGGAAGTAGCATCCTGAAACGTATGAATTGACTGTGAATAATCATCTCGGTGGACAATGGTCGAACGAAGTTCTGTTAATTACGAACGTCTTATTTCTGCCGGTGGTGGTAGAGTGACATTAATTTCGATCCCTTTGCAATGGTTCCAGTAATCTGGACAGCAGTCCTCTTCTCTAGTTCTGTCGCAAAAGTCATCGCAGTAACAAAGAGTGTTGAGAATCGGAGCACTACACTCGTCTTGCCGACCAGGACAGCATTCGCCCAATGGATATTTTTTGCCACAGTACAAGCCGGTTGTTAGGCCGGAAAAATCAGGCATGCCGTTCACGATAGACACCATCAGTAGGAAAATGGCGCATATTAAGCCTTTCCGTGATCGCATTGTTTACGTTTGCGTTTCTCCCTGCAATCGATTCGATTTCCATCTATAAATGACCCGTTTTTTATTCTCCCGGGTATAACAAAGCTATGACTTTCTTAAACTCGATATTTTCTATAAGTTTCAATTTTCACCATACAAAGAAAAGTAAATAACGAAACGGATAGTTTTGGGCTCCTGAGTTCTTGGTTTCATTCTCGTTCTCAATCCCGTTCTTGTTCTCGTTTTCGTGTTCACACTTACAATTAGATATGCCGTCTGTGGATTCAGGCCTGTAGGATTCGGCAATAGTTGGCAGTGATTAACAAAGACGATGCCAACTGCCGCAAATCATCGAGTCTTTTTTGGAACCGTTGTAAACGTTTTCTTCATTGTAAACGTTCTTCGTTAAATGTTATACGCGGGATTCTCTGCTTCAGAAACAAAATATGAAGATGGACCGTGCGTTGACCGTGAAACGATTGTAGATGCAAGTATATATACATATCTATGTTTCGAAATACCATTACGAACTCTTGTATCGAATGCATTGTAATGTTAATGAAATTTACTAGACTGGAACACGTTACGTCTTGGGTTTATTTCATCTCAGTGAAGCATTAAATTTTCCGAGGTATAACGCTGAAGTATAGATAAATATATTCTTTCTCCTATTATATTATTACTTGTGTCGTGACGTTTTTATCTACGCCTAGTTTCTTGTCTACGAAATCTATGGAAGAGGAATGCATATACGTGTATATATATAAAGGATATTAACACAATTGCAGTAAATGCCCACAAGACTGCGAGTACGAGACATTGATCTTGATCTGTTTTCAATTTCGTTAGAATTCAAATCTATCATACTGGGCTACTGATAACTATATAGAATAAACAGAATAAATGGCCTACGCTGGCCGAGAATTAAGAACAATTTTATTCGAATAATGTATTCCACTTTGTTTTCTAGATGTCTCATTCCGGATTCTGTTGGATACTATTTCAATATTGCTCGACAGATATAAGCTGTTTAAACGCCAAAGATTTCATTATACAGTGAAAGTACTCATTGGAAAACTACATGTCGACGATGGATCAGAGAAATAAGGTTCGAATCGATATAACATTCAAAGCGAAAAATTCAAAATTTGTTTAAGTTTTTCCTTATTGATCAACACGATAGCTAATACAGTAAATAATTGGTAATTTATACGATTGTCTAGTTTCAGACGATTACGATGCATCCTCAATTGTTTTATTTCCTATCGTTGTTGTAGATAAAGAAAAGGATCATCGTAATTTATCGATCTGTAGTTCTGAATATCAGTCAGATCTTTAAAGGAAACAGAACACGATCAACATTTGAAGGGAAACGGAAAAATATGCAGAATCTATAAGGTGTATTAACATTGTGAACAACCGTTATATTTTTCGCTGGAGATTATGACGATACTCGACGATCGAATGTTTAGAAAAGTACGGAGTATATAATTATAGTAGACTCGAATGTGATTGGAGGCTATTTTAAAAATGACACGATTGGCGAAAAGAGGTTAATGGCATCGTATATCTTCAAGCGGATTTCAACGATTCAAGGTACAGAAGTTCGGCGTTATCGGTGTAACGAACGAATTTCCCACTATTCGTGATTTTTTTTATCTTTTCCATTGCTTACCTCATATTTTCTTCTGCATATATCGCTAACACTTTTTCGATCGAATGTTTTTCGAGAAATCTTTATTTATTTTCTCTTTATCATGTCGTTATCTCTTCGACATCGTTCTCTCCATTGAAACCAAGGGCGGATCCAGGAGTATTTTTTCTCTTCTTTTCTTTTTCTTCTGGCTGGGGCGGGGTGTTTCTTGGTTTCTTTGTTTTTAGAGTGGACGGTATAACTTAAAAGATATAAGGTAAAATTTGCTAATAATCTATATGTCAATATTTGTATCCGATACTATGATTTAAATAATTAAATTCATGTTAATTATACATAATAGAAAATCGGAATAATTACAATACATGTGATGAAATAAAGTATGCAACGTAATATTTTTTTTAATTAATTCTGTTGATGGCAAGGGGGGGGGGAGGGACGTTATGGATCCGTCACTGATTAAAATGTTTGGCTTTTCAAACATTGTGCCCTACCATATTTTTAGTATTCGATTCATATCAGGTATGATCCATTTCATGTAGCTAAAATTAGATGAAGGTCTCATTTCTTCAAACCCATTCTTGCTTCTCCCTTCCTTGCCTTCTTTAACAATCAGCTCTTATTATTATGCTTTTCTTCCTTTCTACTTCCTCCTTCTTTTTTTTATCTTTTTCCTCTTCCTCTTCTCCTTCTTCTCTCTTCTTCTTCTTCTCCTCCTTCTTCTCTCTTCCTCTTCTTGTTCTTCTTTTTCTTCTTCTTCTTCTTCTTCTTCTTCTTCTTCTTCTTCTTCTTCTTTTCTTTTTCTTTTTCGTTGTTTAATCCGTTTATCATAAGGCGCGCCGATGCTTATACGTGATCTTTCAAATTGTTCGCGCTAAAAATAACGCGAACGTCATATTAACGCGTACGTGCCTATTGCCCCAAATTCCGATCGTTCCCTGTGCGTTATGAATTCGTTTTAAGAATTGTGCAATTCTAACTGTCAATGATAAATTCGATGACATATCTTCGGTGCATGAGATCGACGTTTCGAAGGGATGTTATGCGAATAGAAATTGTGCAAATCAGTGTATGAAAGAACGCAAAACTAATTATTCAGATTTTCTTTAAATCGTTCAGACGCGTTCGATATTATTCGTCGTGTTTTTGTACACACGACACGTACACACGCATACACCCACATGTAAGCGTGAATGAGAACCGCAAAGTTCTCGTTACCCTTGATATATATACGTTTGTTCAAAACGGCGCTTCGAGTCGTTTTTGGGTGACTGTAACGTATGTCTAAGGATGTTTGCATCATGTACGAGATGTTCCGTTCTACCGTTAATTAGCGGAAAACAACTTGACAATTAACTTAGCTCGTTGAACCGCCTTGACCCGATATCATATTTTCATTTATTCATCAGGAACTCTGTGATCTTCGCGTGTTATCGTGATATTAATTATAGTAATATAAATTTAATTAAATTAATTAATGGTATCGAATAATCGGTAGAAACTAATTAGAATTCATTACGAGTATAATATGTTTAATGCGAATTTCATTACCATTTGCTTCCGTTTAACAATTTCTTTAATTATACATCTGGCTAAGTATTATATTCTACGAGAGTACATATGTTATAAAGTGCATAAGTCTCTTTGTCTAGCTACGTGGTAAGATGATCAACAGATATCGAATGCTTCATGTCAAAGTGTCACTTACTCGTGTTTCCTTCAAGTTACCTGATTGTGAGATCCGAGAAGATAATTAATTTCTTGAACGAGTATCGGGTAGCATTTGCTTCGCGGTACACACCCGCGATACACACATCAAAATCTTTGAATGTTCTTTCAAAGGATCGATTTAAGGAATGCGAGAAACGAACGACCGGTAGAATGCGATTCTGAACGCGACGGTTCGGACAACTATAAAAAAATCGAGCAATTGTAAGGAAGTTGGCTGTGGAACACGTTTTGAAGTTCGCGCGAAGTCTGCGATTCTGGTGCGCAAAGCAAGTTGAAAGTTGCGACGAACTTGCGATCGGAAACGATTAGGGGAAGATGAGTTGGTGCTGGCGGCTTGAAAGCAAGAGCCGAACTGGTCCGCCGATACGCAAAGTAAACCCGAGCGAAATGCTAGCCCGTCCGTGACTACGCGTCCCACGGTGTATCATGATTCGATTTCTCCTTGGTTGTTTATCGGATCTCCTTGCGTCTTTTTCCCTTCAGATTCGTCATTCTTCGAATATGCAATGGTTTCCAATTGGACTTGCCAGCGAACAGCGCGCGTTCGTCTTAGCAGGTAGGATCGCTGCTTATGATTCCATTCGCTACTAGTACATCGAAAACAAAGAGTTTCTTTAATCGAATAAACAACGGCAACACTATAGTATTAACTCCTTGCCTTAATTTCACGACTTGGTCTCGTTATCGGCTTTTATCACACACCTAAATGAATCGTCGCGCAATGTTTAAAGCCGTTCCTCGTGTTTGTTCTTGCGCGAATCCACTTTATAATATACGTATCTTTCTTTCAATCGAAGGATATAATACAATTACGCGAGGAGGAATCCAATTACACGATAACAAAGAAATATCACAATTGGTCGAATGATCGGTAGATGAAGAAATGAAAGAATAAAAGCCGCCAAGAAAATAGAATAAGAGGAGGTATTGAAAAGTCAATTATATGCATATTAAAAGAAAAACCAGTTATTTAGGCCATTGTAGGTTTAGTGTGAAAGTTACGGGGAGTAATAATGCAGTTGTATTAGTTTTTGGAACCTATCTTTATTCGCACTTATTCTTTGTCCCGTATAACACGATTTCGCTCAACGAGACATTCTTTTGGAGCTGAATTATCGTGTTTTACAGAGGTTAGTTGTTTTCGATGTAATTGTTTTTGGTCTTACGCCTTGAAATTAAATGGTAAATTAAGAGACAAAAGGTTATGCGGAGTGAAGGGGGATGGGGGCCAAGAGACAGTGTTGAAAAGCTAGAGTAAGCGAATAAAATTATTTATTGATAAACAAATCGCTTTTGACTTGCAGTCTGTAGTACTCGTCGAGCAGCTAACCGTATAAGTAACAGTTAAACAGTTAAACAGTTAAACAGTTAAACAGTTAAACAGTTAAACAGTTAAACAGGTAAGAATTTCGGGTTATGCAATGTAGATCCTTCAATCACCGTCATGTATATACACATGTAGACTAACTGTGATCTATTCTCACTTATATTTTCGAAACGAACAATATTTTTTATCCTTATCTATACATTTGCTCATTTATTAATTTTCCAATGGTATATCACATCCCTTCCCCCGCCGCGACTTTCATCCATCTTTAGTGCTACAAGATAGCCTAAATAACTTTCTATTCTAATTAGAATTATTTGTACCTCGGATACAAGTATAAGATACTCTACAAAGAAGCTGATCTTCGCTAAATTCTGAGGAAGGCGGAGGCCGGTTAGAGGAAAGGGAAGGCAGCCTGATAGTTGAGTAGATTTTGAATGTAAGATATGAGTTTCAGGTGTTTATTAATGAAAATATTAACGAAATATTAACGAAATATTAACGAAATATTAACGAAAAACTGTTAACGTTATACATAGGCGTCTGTCTACACAGACGCAGAGAAAGACGGTCGTTTTCTTAGTACTCGTAACATTGCCGAATGTCGAGTAGTGGATGACTCGTCGCAATCTCTGATGATATCTGACCGCAATTTCTATAGGTTATCCTATTTAGAATCTACTCGTTTTCCTTTTCCAGCTACATTATAATATAGTTTTGAATAATAATAAACGTGATTTAGAGTTTAACCCCGAGAGTAGTCGTGTAACTACTGAAAGAAAAGACGGGAATAGGATATTATATACGAAAGATGGAATATCCCATAAAAACTGACGCCAGATATGTATGTATATATATACACAAAAATATGTAATGTATATACAGAAAAAATTCACCTAATTTTTTTTATACAAAACGCGTAAAGCGAATGGTAAATAACTCTGTAAATATGATGATTTTGTCGGTACATATATTTATAATATACGCAAAAATTTCAAGAAAAATGATGACGAAGAGGGAAAAAAAAAAGTACAAACCAAGGGCTCGTCCGGGATTTGAACCCGGGACCTCTCGCACCCTAAGCGAGAATCATACCCCTAGACCAACGAGCCACCTTGTCCGATATGTTTTATATCTTATATATCTCTTCGTGTACAAACGCGTGCCATGCATACACGTACACACGCACACATACATATGCATATATAGATGAGATATTTTACATAGCTAAATGCAACTATAACTCTGAAACGATAAATTCATCCATTTTTCTCACAATTTCTTTTTGTATCATATGATGAAATGAAATTGGTTTTCTTTTGTATTACTTAAAAAAATTAAATCATTTAATGTAGCACAGGTTAATTAGATTGATCGAAACGGATATCACAACGAGGCGCCGTGGCTTAGTTGGTTAAAGCGCCTGTCTAGTAAACAGGAGATCGAGGGTTCGAATCCCTCCGGAGCCTTTGGAAAATGGAAAGAAAAAAACTTTATATTTATATTGTTTTTATTCGTAGAAGGGGATGGTTGGCTTTTGTTTTTTGTTTTTATATATACACACCTACCTACCTACCTACTACCATTCATAATATCATTTTGTGAACAAACGATTTTGTTCGTTTTTCAGGATCATCCTTTATTTTTTTCTACTTCTATCGACGAGTAACTCCACTCCTGAATAATGTAATCTCCTTCCGTTAATAAGATATTTTTACAGTAGGCTCGAACGATACAGCACGTTGGAAATATTAATCAAGTCTTGAAATATGTCAATACAAATCTACATAGAGTTTTAGGCCCGATTGATTGCACTATACGTACGCACTGTGAATTTCGTTTCGAAGGTAGATAATACACAATCGATAAAATTACGCATTTTGAACGATAAGAGATTAATTGCCGGTTCTATTTGGAAAATTTCACAAAAACGACTGTTGATGCGTAACTGCAATATCTCTTGGCGATGCCGTTTGCGTGATCGATATTGAGAAAATACTGCATGGTAACGTAAGCGGAAGAAAGAACGATACGTGAATGAATTTCAGTTTGCTTGCGTGATTTGCTTACACGATTAGTATCAGTCATCGGTGATATCGAAGATCATTTGTGTCATTTTAGCAGTTGCAGGAAGAAAAGGGTAAAGGGTAAAGGGTAAAGGGTAAAGGGGAAAGGGGATAGGGGAAAAAGGAAAAAGGAGAAAAGGAGAAAAGGAGAAAAGGAGAAAAGGAGAAAAGGAGAAAAGGAGAAAAGGAGAAAAGGAGAAAAGGAGAAAAGGAGGAAAGGAGAAAAGGAAAATGGGAAATACGGAGAGCAACGTAGCCAGTGGAGTGAAGAAACAGACGGATACTTCGTCCATCTTGTTTTACAAATTAGTCGACTTGAAAGGTCCGAATCGAATTCAGGGTGAACTTATCCATGTACCTTTGGTACTGTTGCATTAAATTCTACAATTCTACCTAATAATAAGTGTATACGTGTATGTAAGTTGTTTAAAACATTGTCGTTCGGCAAACCTATTCTAAGCTGCTGAAAATTTGTAAAGAACCAATACGTGGATAAGTTGAGTGAGATCAGGTAACGTGGATAGTAAAGGGACTTAGCGATTAAAAGAAAGAAACTTTGTTTTCGAGCAGGAGGAGGTTTATTGGTAGATATGATGAAAAGAGCAACGCAAACTAAACAATACGCGGAACTGGACCATGCACTAAGAACAAAGGTAGAACCGTATTTGTACAACAAGGGTAAAGGTAAATGGATTCCAATCGAAAAATTGGTTTTGTTACGGAACAAGGATCGTCCAAAGCACAAAATGGTAGAACAATAAATACTCGATTACTGGCATTATACAGGATTACGCATGTTAAATCTTTTATTTTCTCTGGTCGTTCACGTAATAGCTTCCACCGTTGAGAGCGATGGAGAATCCAGCTGATTACGACATAGAAAAAGATATGAACGAGGAAACGGAATTCGATGAAACGGAAATAGGTAAATATGTAATAAGATAGACGCAAAGTAACAAAGTTATCGAGCTGTTTCATTATATCATATATTATATCGTATATTAACAGATAAGAGCAAGAACAGATTAGTCTGTTGGAGTTTAAGCGAAAGGGGAGCCGTCGGGGAAACAATTCTACACTTGTGTATGTTACACGCTACTGCTATTCACATTGACCTAGCTAAGCGTTTGTTACGTTTTTATCCCAAGCTTATAAACGATGTGTACATCAGCGACGAGTATTATGGTTAGTAGTTAACGCGATGGCAATAAAATGTGAATAAAGAAAAGCTATGTTGTTGATCGTGCTTAATCGTTTGAGATAGGTGAGAGCGCGTTACACATCGCGATAGTGAACGAAGATCCGGCTATGGTAAAGTTCCTTTTGGACAGCGGTGCGGATGTACACGAAAGATGTGTGGGAAACTTTATGTGCCCGGAGGATCAAAAAGCATCGAGATCGGATAGCGTGGAACACGAATGGGTTTGCGTAATTCCGGAAACGAATTACAACGGGTAAGAAAGACACGTTAACCTTTATTTTCTGATCTTTCATTTCGTTAACGTATGTACATATGTACGTACGCGCGATGATACAGATATGTTTACTGGGGCGAGTATCCTTTAAGCTTCGCCGCGTGTTTGGGTCAGGAAGAGTGTTACAGATTGATACTCGCCAGGGGAGCTGATCCTGACAAACAAGATACGAATGGGAACACTGTCCTACACATGTTGGTTATCTATGAAAAATTGGTAATTATCTTGGTAAATTATCTATGAATGATTGGCTCGGGAAATGAATGGAATAAATGAGTAAGTTAAGTAAGTTTCTTTCAAGCAAGGCTACATTCGATATGGCGTACGAAGTGGGTGCGTCGTTGGCGATCAGAAATGCTCAACATTTAACTCCTTTAACGTTATCGGCGAAATTAGCAAGGATCGATATGTTTTTTCATATTTTGAATATCGAGAGAGAGATATATTGGCAGATCGGTAGTATTACATGCGCGGCTTATCCTCTCTCGCAAGTCGATACCATCGACGTTACCACGGGAAGCATCAGTCATAATTCAGCTTTGAATCTAGTCGTGTTCGGCGTGAGTTAAGAATCTCTTTTAATTCCTATTTCAATTCTTTTACTTTTTTTTATTAACGTACATACGTTTTTCTTTCGCTACGTGTTATAGGAAAAGGACGAGCACTTGGAATTAATGGACGGTATTCTGGTAGACCTGCTGAATGCAAAATGGAACGCATTCGTCAAATCTCGGTTCTACCGTCAATTTTTTCTCTTTTGCTTTTACTTCGTCCTATCATTGATCAGCTTTACCCTTCGGCCCGGCCCAGCGGCGACATCGACCGCCTTCCCTGTCACATCTCCCACCGAATTGCCAACAACATCTCCAAAGCCAGATCATATTCTCCCAAACATTAGCAGTAAAATTATTTCCCTTCTCTTTGATAAAATTCTTAATATCACCGCTTTCGCGTCGAACGTAAAGTTCCCTTGGAATGTAACAGCGGCGCGTTTTGATAAGCTGAAGCTCGATATTCTCACCAACTTAACGTCTATCTTGAACAACGTTTTCTCGACAGACCGTCGATTTCGTAACGAGATCGAACATTTTAATTACTCTTATAGGCCCCCTGTCCGAACAATCGAACATTTCTATCCTAAAAACGATACTACACCGGTGGATTATCTGAAAATTACTATCAACGAAACTCTCCTTTCCATAAATTCCACGATATTGTTCGGTGACGCCGTGTTGCATGCTGACAATAACAAACCCGACTGGTACGTTACATTAATCCTTCATTACTAAATTTCTTTTTTTCGTTCGAGTTTCTCAAGCTGCTTCTTTCCGACATCAGGTGGAACAATCTTATAGAAGAGTGTAGACTAATGCAACTAACCACATTATCAGCAAAGATTCGATTGACCGCTGAGATACTGATGGAAATTGCTGCTGCCCTTTATATTCTTGCGGCATTGCGGGAGGCTAGATTTTTGGGTCTTAACATGTTCATCGAAAATCTCGTAAGACGATACAGTGAACGATCATTTTCTCTGGCGCTTGCTCTTCTATATGCCTATAGCTAGCTATCGGTTGAGCTATTGAACTTTAGCCCCATTACTTTGTAATACTTTGCAAGCCTGAAGAAAAAGAATGATGATGCTTGGTCGATGAATCGACCTTGTACAACGAAACTCTTACTAACAGGTATCCAACAATTCTAGATGACTGCACCGTCGCGAGTAATGTTCCTCTTCTCTTGTTGCATATTACTGTCTTTTCCATTACTGAGACTGGCTTGTGCCGACCAAGTCGAGGATATGCTGGCAGTTGTCGTGATGTTAACAACGGCACCATATTTCCTATTTTTCTGCAGAGGTTTCAAAACGGTAGGTCCCTTCGTCGTGATGATTTACAGAATGATCATGGGTGATCTGCTTCGTTTTGTCTCCATTTACTTGGTCTTCGTGATGGGATTTTCTCAAGGTAATTAAAACCATGCCTCCACTCCATGAATAATAAACCTATCATGCAAAGAACTCGAAACCTTTGAACTTTCGTCGCGTAAACCACTGCATACCGACTGATGTTACGTGTCGGATCACGATCACGGGTAAAAATAAACTCGCGATCAATCTGTCGACCAAGAGTCGACCAGTTGATTACGTTTAAACGTGCGAGAAAATATGCCGATGACGCTTCCTTTTTCCTCACAGTCGTTAATCAAAGTATTAACGATATCGAATAAACTATAGGAGTTTGATTTAATCGTTCGTCTACTTAGTACTTAGTTCGTCTGGCTACATCGCAAGTGACATTGACACACATTACTGCACCGGGTCTATATACATACATACATACTTTCACTTTCCTTTCTTCAGCATACTACATTATATTTCTATCCTTTGATAATCCGAATACACCGGAAGGAGTAGATGATTCGGTGAGCAATCCAATGCCATCGCCAATAGAAAGTATAATGGCAATGTTCCTTATGAGTATGACAAACTTCGGCGATTACTATGGCGCGTTTGAGAGAACGCAACATGAGATCGAATCCAAGGTGATTCCATAGTACACATGATTCATCAATTGTTATTTCACCTCATACGTAACATACATACAAATTTATTCTGTTGTAGTTTCTATTTGTGGTATACATGGCTATCGTTGCCATACTGCTGGTAAACATGTTAATTGCTATGATGGGAAACACATACCAGAAAATCGCAGAAACAAGGAACGAGTGGCAAAGACAAGCACGTATCCCTTTCCCTCCATTCCCTTTACTATCTCGTCCTTTCGAATGGTTGGGTTTTTATAGGAATTAATATTACAGTGGGCACGTATAGTTTTAGTAGTGGAAAGAGGAGTAAGTCCAGAGGAAAGACTTAAAAAATTAATGGATTATTCGCAACCAATGTCCGATGGCCGAAGAGCATTAGTACTTCGATTGAATCAATCGGTAAAAGATGTTATTACGATTATGGTCTCAACGAATAACAACAATGAAATAAAACGCAAAATGAAATTAAAATTTTAGGAGGAGGACAAAGAAGAAATGAAGGAAATTTTAGAGATGAAAAGAACTCATGATAGGCTGTATAAAAAGAGGCAAAGCAACGTAGCAAAGAATATCGTAACCTCGGGGGATAATGTTATTTTATAAATTTCATATTCTATTTCATAAATATGCACATATATTTACATATGTATTCTATTCCATAAAATCGATATATCGATATTATAATAAATATAACGTGATATTATATCGTAAACTCTGACAATTTAAACTCTTTCTCTGCTACCCGAAAAGTATGTACAATAAGTAGGTATTGACATGCAACATAATCGTATCCATAGCAAATCGTGTCTATAGCAACTGTTTACCTTAGCTAATAGCAAAGATTTGTTGCCTTGTAAGCAAACTTGTTATTTCGTCTATTGTGCTATATCGAAAGCCAAATATTTTGTACTATACTATATAAATGAGCAAACTAAGATTGCCAGTAAATTATAAAAATATGGAACTAGAACTTCTGGAAGCTCTTAGGGCGGATAGATTATATAAATTACAGAATGATGCGAAACTCAAAGCAGTGGAACAAAAGGTGCCTACGTATGAAGATTTTAGACAACTGGTAAGAATATTTTTGCATTGAAAATTGCAAAATCTATTGCCTATCGATGCAGTGAAATAATTTAATTTGCCCAAAAATATGTTGACAGGTAAATGCTGCGCATTTAAAGCCCTTGGAACATGCTGATGTTAAATCTAAAACAAAGTCCATTTGGAACTCTGTTCTTCATACTGATAATTCGAATATGATGATGTCACTTGACAAATCAAAAGACCAACACTCTGGGGATTATCTACGATCGGTAGCTAAAAATGGTAATGATCTTGAAAATGAAATTCCCACCACGTTTGCACAATTTGTGCAAGTTTGGAAAACGCTTAAAGGATACGAATTAAAATTTAATTGTCTTAAACTCTTAAGGTACGTTATCTGCTTAATTCAACCTAAAGACTGAGAAATAAATGTCGGTATATCTAATATCTTTTCAGACACACCTTACGGGAGAAAATCTTTTGTACAGAAATTCCTTCGACATTATTTGTCCAATTGATAGACATATGCCTGCAAAATCTTTCGATTACAGATAATATCGTACCTATCATTGATATTTTACACGCTTTAGCTAAATGTAATAGATTTTACTTGACACTCGATTTTATGACCCAAACCGAAAAAGAAATGAGTACACGGCTATTCCGAAATTTGCTTATCAGCGTAGAATACCAAAATGAGGCACTTAAAGATACGATAAAAACATTAGCCTTGCTTTATAATATCGTGATTGAGTAATAAATTGCAACGATTAAATTGTATTAAAAATATTTCATACATACGGTACGAAATATCCAATTGTTTACAATTCTTTGTATATACACACGAAAAGAAAGGAAAAAAAATAAATTAAAAATATAAAAAACAGAAGGAAAGAGAAAAAGGAGAATAGAATTTATAGTTCCTTTTATAAGTGTAAAACTTAAAAATTTATTTTAAACGTTGCGAGCATGCGTCTTGATAACCAACGAATCACGTGATTATCGAGTACTTAACATGGCCGCACGCACTGTAATACCAGTTCGAGGTATCACGACCACAGTTGATTGACGATTAGTCTAAAAATCAATCAAAATTCTGACAAATTTCAATATATTTTTGCCTTTAATAGAAATGATTCGAAAGTTTAGTACCGAATATTATTATCGTCGTTCGAAAAATATTTCTCCATGCATACACGTACGTACGTGGAAAGAAGAACGTTGTGCACGTATGCATGCATGTCGCGTGTATACACGCAATTTGTAAATAAACAAGATTGTTCAACCATTTGATAACATGTCAATTGACAGTGCCATTTTATACGTTGCTATTGAAAGACTAAAAAGTAAATGCAGAATATTAACTATCGGAAACCACAATACTACTTAACCGGAACGAGGTACAAAAAATACGCACATGTACCTGCATAAGTACAGTATATTTCGAAGAGTGTAATATCGTAATATCATGTGATACGTATAATGTAATAATTATAAAAACGTGGAAATTATTTGTAGCATGTTTCGTCGATCAAAGAAAAATGTATGAATGTAAATATAGAAATATGATGTGTGTGTGGTGTATGTATGTATATGATATACATATATATATTCGTACGTAGTGCATATATAGTACACTATGAAGATAATAATAATAGTTGTGCATCCGTAGTAAATGGAAAAGAAAATTTATCAAGTGATTTATTAAAAAAAAGTATGCGGTTAGAAGAAATGCCACTACGTTTGAGCTCAGATGAGCGGGATTTTGAAATGGACGAAGAAACTGATTATCTTCTTCAACCTTCCGAAGACAGTATACGACTTTTAACTTCCCGAAGACGGCGGATAAACGACTTCTCTATACTTCTAAAGAACTGCCTTTGTGGGTAAGTTGTAAATTCAATAACCAATTAATTAATTTGAACTAAAAGTCAAACCAAGGCAAACGTTATGCTCGATTCGTGATGTTCAAATTACTAATTTTAATGGTAGCCAACATAATAAATAAGAAAAATCCATCGAATTTAAAATATTAATATTCAGGATATAAAAGTAAATTTTCCAAAAAAAAGAAAGATGAACGATATAATATTAGTTAAATATTTCTTTCTAATATATTTGTTGTCTAAACAATTAATGAATAATTTTATTTAGGAAAATTATAAAATACATGTAATAATGCTTCTTATTTTTAATAACGTGGGCTCGAAGATTCAATAGTTATTAAAATGTAAACTGCATAAAATTTAGAAAGCATAATTACAGTTATTACATTAATCGTACAATATATCTTTAATATAATTCTTTGTAAATATTTATATGTATGTATTAATACTTTCCTTTTTTTATAAACTGCTCTATCGAAATTCTGTTATAATCAATGAAAAAAGGGGGCAGTAAGAAAATATAAGAAATTTCAAATATACCATAAGTATATTTAATAAAGTTATTAAAATCTAGTATAAATACATTTTGGAAAGATTTCACTTAGAATGGGGTATGTTAGAGAAATATAGAAATTATAGTAAACGGAATGTGAAATGCAAGTCGCACGGTAGATTGGTGAATTCATCTTGTAAGCTCGTACTTCGTGGATATTATGATGTCACAACAGAATTATGTTAAATATCGAATAATTTTTTACCAGCGTTTTTTTAGTGAAATATCGAATACAAGTGTTTCTTTATATTGTTTGTATTAAAGACCTATCTAAATGGAGACACAAAGCAATGTTATAAGGCTATCGAAAGAAGATATTCCGTTAATATCTAAACCGCGGAATGACAACTCGTGGACAAGGTGACGTACATTTTACCTGCCCCAAGAAATTTCGATTTGTATTACTGGTTTATATTAAAATTACGGATCATATTACTAGTTTATGTTGATTAAAAAAATATTACTGGTTATCTCTATGATGTTCCACTCGATTTAAATACAATAATTTCGTCGAATTTATTTCCAAATGTATTCCATGTTATAATAAACCCATTTCTTGTCATTTATGATTGCTATATTTACAGTTATAATATATTTTTTTTCTATCATTTTTCAACTCGGAATCTGTATTTTGTTATTAATTTAGTAACATTGATTCATTGCAATAAAGAAATATAGTAAAAAAGTTGCTCATAATATATTCTTCTATTTTTCTTCTTATTCGTTATTATATCTTTTTAGATGTTGTACTTGGATGTGGAGAAGATGTTGTAGAGAACGTGAGTTAAGAGCTAGAGTCATTCACATTGGTCAACCGATGCATGAAAAATTTCCTACTAATGTTATCAGAAATCAGAAATATAATATTGTCACATTTTTGCCTATGGTAAAGGATATTACTAATTATATTGTAAACTAATATCATATAAAATAAGAATATTTGCTATTTTACTTTTTAGGTTCTTTTTCAACAATTTAAGTTTTTTTTAAATCTATACTTTCTGCTTATGGCTATATCACAATTTATACCAGATATACGAATAGGGTATTTATATACATACTGGGGACCTTTGTGTTTTGTGTTAACTATTACAATTTGTCGAGAAGCAATTGATGACTTTAGGCGATATAAAAGAGACAAAGAGGTCAATGCCCAAAAATATTATAGATTAATAAAAGGTTTTGATAGCCCAGAATTAGTACCAAGTTCTAAATTACGAGTAGGCGATTTGGTAAGATAGTTAAAACATAAAGTAATTAGATAAGAAAAAAATTAAAACATTTATTCGTATAATATCCTTTTTCAAGGTAATTGTGGAGAAAGGTCAAAGAGTACCAGCTGATTTAGTTTTATTACAAACCACAGAAAAATCTGGTTCATGCTTTGTTAGAACAGACCAATTGGATGGAGAAACAGATTGGAAGTTGAGACTGGCTGTGCCAGTTACTCAAAAACTAGAAAATAACTCTCAACTATTTGATATAAAAGCTAGTATATATGTTGAGAAACCACAAAAAGATATTCACAGCTTTATTGGGACATTTACAAGGGTACATTCTAAAATATCTAATTTATCTTGTATATTATGTTTGTTACTTGTATGTAATTAGTGATTATGTTACAATTTACAGTATGATGGATATAGTAGTGAAGAAAGTTTGGGCGTGGATAATACTCTATGGGCAAACACGGCTATCGCGTCAGGTTCAGCTCTTGGTATTGTAGTATATACCGGACAGGAAACTAGATCGCTAATGAATCATTCGGCACCACGATCGAAAGTTGGTCTATTAGATCAGGAAATAAATCAATTAACAAAGGTGTTGTATCATAAAAATATTTAATGTAACCTATAATGTTATTTACCCTTTAATTTATCATTGAGTGAACATTAACTTTGTAGGTCTTGTTTTGTGCTGTAATTGGACTAGCATTAGTAATGATGTCTTTAAAAGGATTTAATGGGCCATGGTATCGTTATATGTTTCGTTTTGTTTTATTATTCTCTTATATAATACCGATCAGTTTAAGAGTAAACTTAGATATGGGGAAAGCTTTTTATGCTTGGTGTATACAAAGGGACAAGGAAATTGCTGGAACAGTTGTAAGAACCACTACCATTCCAGAAGAACTTGGTCGTATTTCATATTTATTAAGTGACAAAACCGGCACGTTGACACAGAATAAAATGGTTTTCAAAAAATTACATTTAGGCATGATATCTTATGGCCAAGAAACATTTGACGAAGTTACGGCCGTATTAAAAACATGTTATTCTACAAATTCTGAAATTTCACCGGTAAAACCATCAACATCTATACATAGTGGTAAAGTAAGAAGATCAGAAAGTACTAGAATATATGATGCAGTTCATGCATTGGCTTTGTGTCATAATGTAACACCAGTTTATGATGAAGTAAACAAATCATCTACCTTAGATGCAATGAGCATACAAACAGGAGAAACAGGAGATTCTGGTTCCATCCAAAGGTAATTTTCGTTAAGTTAATCATACCATCATAACATATATATTTATGTTATTTTTATTTTAGTCAAACAGAAGCGGACCAACATTATTATTTGCCAGAACAAAAACGTAATTACCAGGCTTCCAGTCCGGATGAAGTAGCATTGGTCAAGTGGACAGAGGAAATGGGATTAGCTTTAGTGAAGCGTGATTTAAATTTTATGCAATTGAAAGCTCCGAATGGCAAAATTTTAAACTATACAATCCTACAAATATTTCCATTCACTTCAGAGACTAAACGAATGGGAATAATAGTGAGAGAAGAATCTAATTCTGAAATAGTATTTTATCTCAAAGGTGCGGACGTAGTAATGTCTGGAATAGTACAGTATAATGATTGGCTTGAAGAAGAGTGTGGTAATATGGCTCGAGAAGGTTTAAGGACATTAGTTGTTGCAAAAAAGAATTTAACAGAAGAACAGTATCTTGATTTTGAAGCAAGGTTCTATTGATTTCTATACGAATTTATTACATTTTGTTACAAAATGGTTAAAAATAGTAAATAAGGTACACGAGAGATATTTTTCTTTTAGATATAATTCCGCCAGAATGAGTGTCAGTGATCGCGTTTCAAGAGTTGCTGCAGTTGTCGAAAGTTTAGAAAGGGAAATGGAATTGTTATGTGTAACCGGTGTTGAAGATAGGTTGCAAGATAGAGTAAGACCGACATTGGAATTATTAAGAAATGCTGGAATTAAGGTATTATATTTTGAATTATACGAGAGCGAGATTTTTTTGTTTCTCTTAATAATAGTTTCGTTTGCAATGTCTTTTTCTGCAATCTCTAGATTTGGATGTTAACGGGCGACAAATTGGAAACAGCAACTTGTATAGCAAAATCTTCATGTTTAGTTTCACGAACGCAAAGTCTTCATGTTTTCAAATCAGTGGTAACACGCACGGACGCACACCTGGAATTAAATACCTTTAGAAAAAAACAAGATTGTGCCTTAGTCATCAGCGGAGATTCTTTAGAGGTATGTTTGCAATATTACGAACAAGAATTCTTGGAACTAGCATGCGGTTCACCGGCTGTTGTTTGCTGTCGATGTTCCCCTACGCAAAAAGCCGAAGTTGTTAGTCTTATACAAAGACATACTGGCAAAAGAACTGCAGCTGTTGGTGATGGGGGTAATGATGTATCAATGATACAAGCAGCAGATGCTGGTAATTATTGTTTCCGTATTATTTATATTAAAGTGAGCTAAATATCATTACATTTCTATATATTTTATCTTTAGGTATAGGTCTTGAAGGCCTTGAAGGAAGACAAGCTTCTTTGGCTGCGGATTTTTCTATTTCTCAATTCAGCCATTTGGCAAATCTTCTGTTAGTTCACGGACGCAGAAGTTATAAACGTTCTGCTGCTTTGAGTCAGTTTGTTATTCATAGAGGCTTAATTATTTCCACTATGCAAGCTGTATTTTCTGCAGTTTTTTATTTATCATCTGTGTCCTTATATCAGGGATTTTTAATGGTTGGGTAAGAAAAAAATTAAACAAATTTAAAACAATTTATTAACAACATCGATACATCAAATAATAATAATAATAATAAAATTTATAGTTATGGAACAATATATACGATGTTTCCCGTATTTTCTCTGGTATTAGATAAAGACGTATCAGGAAAAATTGCACTCACTTACCCGGAACTTTATAAAGAACTAAGTAAGGGACGATCGTTGTCCTATAAGACATTCTTTATGTGGATTTTAATAAGCATATATCAAGGTGAATATGTAAAAAAATTTTGTTTATCATGTGTACCATTTAGCAATATATTAATTATTTTAAATACTTTTTAGGTGGTGTAATAATGTATGGTGCACTTATAATGTTTGAAGATGAATTTATTCATATAGTGGCTATAAGTTTCACAGCACTTGTTTTAACGGAATTAATAATGGTAGCATTAACTATTAGAACATGGCATCATATTATGATACTTGCAGAGATTTTTTCATTGGCACTCTATTTACTATCTTTAGTCGTGCTTAAAGATTATTTTGGTATGTATAATTTATATTATATAATTATAAAAGATAAGAAGTAAGTACTAAAACTTTTGATCACATATCCCTGATTGTCTTATTACAGATGCCGAATTTATCAAGACCACTGACTTTTTGTGGAAAGTACTGCTAATAACTTTAATTTCATGCATGCCACTGTATATTTTAAAATTCCTACGAAAAAAATTTTCTCCCCCTAGTTACACTAAATTGTCTTAATATTATATATATATATATATATATATATATATATATA